CCCATGGAGGGGGGGGCCCCCATGGTGGGGGGGGCCCCCATGGAGGGGGGGGGCCCCCTAAGGGTACGCACGGGGTACGAGGGGGGGCCCCTTCTATTGGAGGTAGTGGAGACAGAAGTTTATCTAGGGACAGTGGAGCTTCTTTCTTAGGCGGAGAGTTTGGGGCGCCTCAGCAGAGGAGACTGCCGACTGCTATTGTTAAAGACCTTCTTTCTTTTGAAATGAAGAGCGGAAAGAAACAGTAAACAGAGACAAATAAATAAATAAATAGGAGACACCAGAGAGAGAGAACATTATATAAATATATACATATATATATAATAATCTCTCTATGTTCCTTTCTATCTCTCTCTCTGTCTCTCTCACTCTCTGTCTGTCTGTCTCTTTCAGTGTCTCTGTATCTTTCACTGTCTCTTTATCTGTCTCTGTCTCTGTCTCTTTCTCTCTCCCTCTGTCTGTCTCTCTCCCGCTGTCTGTCTCTGTCTCTCTCTCTGTTTCTGTCTCTCTGTTTCTGTCTGTCTCTCACTCTCTCATAAATAAAAAGCATATACATGCTTGTTTATGTTGTGTCTCCTTTCTCATAATGTCTTTGATTTATTTGACGTTTGTTTGTTAATCAGCAACCACACAACAGAGGAGCAGAGAGACAAACAAACAAAAGGAGACAGCGGGTTGTCTCTGCTGCACCCTCCAGAGAAGAAGCAGCTCTTTGGGCATCGCACTCCAGGCGTTTGGTTTCAGTTTGCTGAGAGAGACAAGAGAGGTAAATATAATATATTTAATATATATAATACGTTTAATAAATATAATATATTTAATATACAATATATATATAATATATTTAATACATAATATATATATGATATATTTAATATACAATATATAATATATAGAATCTATGATATATATATATATATATAATATACAATATATAATATATACTATATACTATATAATATATAATATATATAATATCTATAATAGATATATGCATAAATATTATATATTATATGTATATACCTCTCTTTTGTTGTTGTCTCTTTTTCTTTATCGTTTCCTTCTTCTTTTGCTTCTTCTGTCTCCTTTCATCGTTCTTGCTTTTTTATCTGTCTCCTTTGTTTGTTTTTATAATAAACCCATTTGTCTCTGTTGTATTTCTCTCTCTTCTCTTTTTCGTCTCCTCTTGCATTTATAGATCTGTCTCCTTTTTATCTGTCTCTTTTTTATTTATCTGTCCCTTCTTTATCTGTCTCCTCTTTATATGTCTCTTTTTTATTTATCTGTCCCTTCTTTATCTGTCTCCTCTTTATCTGTCTCTTTTTATATTTATCTGTCTCCCCTTTATCTGTCTCTTTTCTATTTAACCATCTCCTGTACATTGTATCTGTCTCCTCTTTATCTGTCTCCTTTATATATATATATATATATATATATATATATATATATATATCTGTCTCCTCTATATACCGTCTGTCTGTTCTTAAGAATTGCATGAAGTATAATTAATTATATTTTGTTTATTTGTTTATTATTATTTATTTTGTTTATAGGATTTGACAAAGGAGGAGAAGGAGCAAAAAAAGGTTTAAACTTTTTATTCCCAAGTCAAACAGAAACCCAAGGTGTGTCGCCGCAGGTGGGTGTAGAGACAGCTCAACTGCATGCAGTTAAATAAACAAATATATTAATAAATATATAAATAAATCTATAAATAAATAGATAAATAAATATATAAATAAATATATTAATAAATATATAAACAAATATATAAAAAAACAGAAGAATAAATATATAAACAAATATATAAATATATATATAAATATATAAATATATAAATATATAAATATGTAAATATATAAATATATAAATATATTAATATATGCATATATATAATATACAAGTCGTGACAGCGCAAACATAATTAAATTTAGTAAATGTACAAAAATAAACAATCAAATAAATGTATAAATAAATGCATAGATATAAATTTATATTAACATAAATTATTAATATAAACATAAATATAAATATAAATGTACACATAAGTATAAATTATAAATATAAATATAAATATAAATATAAATATAAATATAAATACAAATACAAATATATATATATATAATATAACTAAGGATGCATGCATATATAAATATAAACCTACATAATATATATATATATATGAAAATATACATCTGTAAATATTAATAAAAGTGTATTTAAAAATATGTATAGAAATAATAATGTATTTGTTTGTTATCACTGTAAAAATATACTCATTATATATATTTATGTACATATATATGCATATATATATATATAAAGATATAAAGATATAAATAAATAAATATATATATATATATATATAGCCACAGAGGGAAAAGAGACAAGGGACCGGCAGAGAGAAAAAGAGAGAGAGACAGACAGCCTTTTTTTAAGGGTTTAGGGTTTAGGGTTTAGGGTTTGCAGATGTGTTGGAGTGTCTGTGCTGCAGGGCGTGGGGCAAAGAAGGAGAAGCAGCGTCAGCCCAACTAGCGTTCATCATCACCATCAGCAGCAGCAGCAGCAGCAGCACAATAATAATAATAATCAGCTGCTGCACAAGCGATCCTCTTCCTCCTCTCCAGCAGCAGCAGCAGCAACAACAGCAGCAGCAGCAGCAGGGGAGAGACGAGGCAGCGGGCGAACATTTATTAGCGCGGGCTCTTCAAAGTTTAGGGGGGCCCCCTCTAGGGGGCCCCCCGCTAGGGATCTTCCTTCCAGGGGGGCCCCCTCTAAGGGGTCTCCTTCTAGGGGGGCCCCCTCTAAGGGGTCTCCTTCTAGGGGGGCCCCCTCTAGGGGGGCCCCCTCTAGGGGGGCCCCCTCTGTTGGGGCCCTATCTAGGGGGCCCCACTCTATAGGGGCCACTTCTATGGGGGCCCCATCTAGGGGGGCCCCTTCTAGGGGCCCCCACAGGGGCCCCTCTTTAGGTCATTCATTTAGAGAGAGAGCAGCATCAAGCGGCAGCATAAAGAGGAGACACAGCAGCATTATGAAGCAGCAGAGACAGAAGAGCAGCAGCAGCAAAGCTAGGGCTGCATCTGCTATTCCTTTTGTAGACCCTCTTTCTTTCAAGCCTCCTCCCCCTAAAAAGAAGCTTTTAAATACACCGTGGGCTGTCTATGGAAGGCCCCCCCCGCAGCAAAGAAGAAGAAGAGATTCTGCTGCTGCTGCTGCTGCTGCAGGAGAGCATCATCTTGATTTCTTTGATAGGGCCCTTGATAATATATACACAATTGTGGTGGGGCCCCCCCCTGATAGCGGTGCCTCTTCTTCTGCTCCTAGCGCGAGAGACAAGCAGCAGCAGCAGCAACAGTCTCCTGCAGCAGCAGCAGCAGCAGCAGCAAGACACGACAACGCACCGCACTTGCTGCCAGCACATTACCAGCAGCAGCTATTTAAAGAAGCAGCACATGCATTTGCTGCAGGAGGGAGGCCCCCTGTACACCCCCGGCGTTCATCAGCAGCAAACACCCACCGAAGCCCATCACCTGCTGCAGCTGCTGTTGCAGCAGCTGCTGCAGCAGCAGCAGCAGCATCAGCAGCAGATGAGGAGGAGGGGCCCCAGGGTAAACCCCACAGACCCCAAATGAGACGCTCTCGCCAATCTTCTTTTACAGAAGCATTAAATGCTGCAGCAGCAGCAAACAACAACAACAACAAAGGTGTGGGGGCCCCCAGGGGGCCCCCCAACTCTGTACAGCCGGAAGGTCCTTCTGGGGGGCCCCCTGGGGGCCCCCCACTATCTCCTCGGAGCTCTGTAAGAAGTCTACCATTAGATTTAAGTAAAGTGCGCAACAAACATGCAAAGGAGACAGTCCCTTCACTGTCTCCATATGAACTCAACAAAATCAGAGAAGAGGCACCCAGCGACACCTCAGATGATGAAGGGTCTCCTTCTTATCTGGGGCCCCCCAAATACCCCACACCATACAATCAAAGGTGGGGAGCCCCAAGAGGGGGCCCCCCAGGGGGGCCCCCAGTGGAGCCCCCAGGGGGACCCCAAAGGGGGGGCCCCCCAGGGTACCCTCCCTATGGGGGCCCCCAGCCCAGTGGGGGCCCCACAGCGAAGGGGGAGGGTATAGGGGCCCCCAATGGCTTTAGTAAGAGAAGGGGCTCCCAGGAGGGGCCCCCCATTGGGGGCCCTCAGGGGGGGCCCCATGAGGGGGGGCCCCTTCAGGGCCTTCCATCGAATCCCCCTATGGAAGGAGAAGAAAGGAGACAGTTGGATGGTGGTGAAGAGACAGAGAAACAAAAAGGAGACAGTTTGTTTAGTGGATGGCTGCCTGCCTTTATACACGCTCCGGAGTTTTTTAACAAGACAAACAAAACAAAGAAAACCACAAACGATCAAGCAGAGACAGATGATGAGGGGGGCTCCACAGCAGCAGCAGCAGCAGCAGGGGAGGGGGCCCCCGCGACAGCAACAACCCATCGGGGGTCTCTGGGGCCCCCCCCAACAGACACCAGAGACATCCCTAGGACGCCTAAAGCTGCAGAAAAAATTATCAAAGAAGCTGAAGCTGTACTCTGGGAGGTGGTGGGGAGACACCCCAAGCGTCAGCCGCAGCCGCAGCAGCAGCAGCCGCAGAAGCAGCAGCCGCAACAGCAGCAGCAGCAGCTGCAGCAGCAGCAGCAGCAGGTGACGAAGTTTCCTAGGCCCAGCAGCAGCTCAAAGAAGGGGCCCCCACCCCCTCCATCTGCGGTAGTACATGCGCTACAGCAGCAGCAGCAGCAGCAGCAGCAGCAGCAGCAACAGCAGCAGCAGCAGCAGCAACAGCAGAAGCAGCAGAAACTAAAACCTCCTCCCCCCCCAAAGTGGAAAGCCAAAAGTGCTGCAGGCCCCCCAGGGGCGAAAGGCAGCTGCAGCACTTCTTTTCATAGCAACAATAATAATAATAATAATTATAATTATAATAATTATAATTATAATTATGATGATAGTTATAATCTTTATGATTATAATAATACGAAGGGGGCCCCCTCTGTCCCCGAGGAGGGGCCCCCGTCCCTCTCGCATGCAGCAGCTGAGGCCTCTTTTGTGCAGCAGCACAAGGCAGCAGCAAAACCCGCAAGCAGCAGCAGCAGCAGCAGCAGTAGCAGGGGCAGGGGGCAGCAGCGTGAAGGAGACAGTGCTGCAGCAGTTGCTTCAGGTGTCTCCTTAAAACCTTTGAGAGAGTTTCCGGGTGTCTCCGTTAATTTCGATGGTCTATGGAGGATTTGGCTGCAGCAGCAGCAGCTGCAGCAGCAGCAGCTGCAGGAGGAGACACTGCCGCCCCCGCACATCCTTTCTGCTGCAGCAGCAAATAAGGAGTCACAAGCAGCAGCAACAGCAGCTGTTGCTGCTGCTGCTGCTGTTGCAGCAACAGCAGCAGCAACAAGGCCTACAAAGGAGACACAATCTACCGCAGCGGACGGGGGCCCCCAACAGGGGCCCCCAGAGACATACAGGGTTTTACTAAACCCTAATGCAGCAAAGGATGGAGACTTCATCTATCAGGTATATAAGGAAGCACCACTGCAAGATATTGCTGCTGCTGTTGCTGCTAATGATGCTGCTGCTAATGGTGCTGCAGCAGCAGCAGCAGCAACAGCAGCAGGAAATGATTTCACCTATCCCCCGATAGACAAATCCTCAGGGGGCCCTTTTGCTGCTCAAGAACCCATAGGGGCTGCTGCTGCCGCTGCTGCTGCTGCAGCTGCAGCAGCAGCAGCAGCAGCAGCAACAGCACAGCCCTTTGACAACCTGTGGGAAATTATGCAGCAAAACCAAGTGCAGCAGTATTACTGAGGTGTACGTACACCTGTAATGCTGAGGTGTACGTACACCTGAAATGCTTAACTTTTTTTTAGTAAAGTGGAGTTGTCTTTTTGTGTCTTTGAGCTGCCTGTACACCTCAGACTGCAAGCGTTTAGGGTTTCTCTCGCGGGAGCTGTTAGTGCTTGCTGTCTCCGTCTCTGTCTCTGTCTCTCTGTCTCTGTCTCTATCTTTGTCTCTGTCTCTCTTTTGTATCTGTCTCCTCTGCATTTAATGCGTCTCCTTCTTCTGTCTTTATCTTAAAAGCCCTACAGCGTAGTTATTACTAGCGATATATATATATATAAATGAAAATAAACTAATAAGCAAAGATTAAATAAATAAATAAAAAGAGGTTAGAGTTAGCTCCATTGAGAGCAACAAGATAAGAGAAGGAGACAGTCAAAAAACTGTCTCCTTTTGTCTACTGATACCTCTCTACTGAGGTGTATATACACCTCAGCAGCACCTCCCTAGCTCCGACAACTATGCATTTATTATTATTATAAAACAAAAGAAATAAACAAAAAGGAGACAGACAAAACAACAAGACGAACAAACAAACCCAATTCAAACCGCACTATATATAATATATATAAATATATATATTTAAATATAATTATATATACTTAAATATAATGATATATATATATATATATGTATGTATATATATATATATATGTATGTATATATATGAATATATATAAATAAATATATATTTAAACATTTAAGTAAATCCATACGCAAATATACAAAAAAATAATTTATACGCACCCTGCTATATAGATATGATATATAATGTATATATTATATATTATATATATATAAACATACATAAACATATATATATATATGCATGCATTCGTCTATATATAAGATATATACATACACGCCTACGTATACACAACATGCAGAGTCTGCACACATATAAATAATATGCGTATATAATATAATATATATGTATATAATATAATATATATGTATATAATATATATATATATATGTATTATATATATATATGTACATATATATTATATAATAAACTACATATATATAATTATCTACTGTATAATTATATATAAACATATATTCATTAACGCATAAGTCTATATCGACAAACGTACTCAAACATATATACATATATATATGCATTGCACTCAATATATATATATATATATGTTATTTACATTTAAATACATACGCATATAAATATATATACATTTATATATATATATACACGCATATACATATACATGCACATATACATATACACATATACATACACCTACATATACATATACATATGCATATGCATATACATACACGTATACATACGCATATATATATATATATAAACAAATATATACGTATATATGCACATATATATAATACAAATATGCGCATCCACTTATATATATATATATACATTGCATTCAATATATATATATATATATATATATATATATTATTACATAGACCGCATCCATGTACACGAA